GGCCACGAAACGCTGTGCTGGGTGGGGGAAATGCTTGAAGACACCGCCACTGGAGCCTTCGGTGGAGCCACCTATGGAGCCACGAAACGTTGTACTGTGTGGGGGGAACGCATGCGGACACTGCCACTGGGGCATTCGGTGGGGCTCCTGATGGGGCCACGAAACGTTGTACTTGGCGGTGGAAACGCATGCGGACGCAGCCGCTGGGGCCTTCGGTCGCGCTCCCTTCGGCGGGGGACAAACCTCGCTTTAGTAGACCTCCACTTAGTGAAAACGGCCTGTGACCGAAACCGACGGACCTGGACCCGCAGAAATGACAGCCGCGACGCCCTCTCGCGAACCGAAAACGGCCAAGTCCTTAATCGACGTGTCAGGGTAGGAGGTCTGTCCACCCCCGATCCCTATGGGGCCACGAAGCGCTGCACTGGGTACGGGAAACGCATGCGGACACCGCCACTCGGGCCTTCGGTGGAGCTCCCTATGGAGCCACACAACGATGTACTGGGTGGGGGAAACGCATGCGGACATCGCCACTAGGGCCTCCGGTGGACCCCCACGTGGAGCTACGAAACGCTGTGCTGGGTGAAGGAAGCGCGTGCGAACCATGCAACTAGGGCCTTCGGTGGAGCTCCCTATGGGGCCACGAACATTGTGAGGGGTGTGGTAACGTGGAGGGGGGGGGGGCATGCGAACGCAGCCGCTGGGCCATGCACTGGAGCCCTCCATGGGGCCATGAAACGTGTGAGTGGTGTGCCAAAGGGGACAGGACGAGGCACGTGAAAGCAACCACTAAGGCCTGCAGTGGTGCTCCCTATGGGGCCACGAAACGTGTTAGGGATGTGCCAGCGTGGACAGGAGGCGGCATGTGAACACAACCACTGGGGCCTTGGGTGGAGCTCCCTGTGGGGCCACGAAGCGTGAGGTTTGGGTCAAAGTGAAAGGAGGCTGCGTGTGAACGCAGCCACTGGGGCCCTCGGTGGAGCTCCCCATGGGGCCACGCAGCGTTTGGGGGGTGGTGGTGCACAGAATGCCGCATGTGAACACAGCCACTGGGGCCTTGGGTGGAGCTCCCTATGAGGCCACGCAACGCATGAGGAGTGTGCCAGGCTCAGGGGGGGGACGGGAGAAGCGAGGAGGGGGAGGAGGAGTAGAGGAGGGGAGGAGGAGCAGGACGCGGGGCACCGTCTCTTCAAAACGACAACCAGACACTGCATGATGGTTGGGAACCATTTTGGCGAAATACCCAACTATTTGTGGTTGTGCGCAGCGCGATGTGGGCTTTCGGTGGAGCTCCCTATGGGGCCATGAAACGCGTGAGGGACGTGCCGCAATGGGTGGGGGAGACGCATGCGGGCGGTGCCACTGGGGCCTTCGGTGGTGCTCCCTATGTGCCGCAAAACGCTGTACTGGTTGGGGGAGGCGCATGCGAGCGGTGCCACTCGGGTTTTTCTGCGGGGCTCCCTACAGGGCCACGAAACGCCGTAGTGGGTCGTGGCCAGCGCATGCGGGCGGTGTCAGAAGGGGCTTCGATGAAGCTCCCTATGGGGCAACGAAACGCTGCACAAGGAGGGGGAACGCATGCGGGCGGTGCCAGTGGGGCCGTCGGTGGATATCCCTATGGGCCCACGAAACGCTTTACTGGGTGGGGGAGGGTCGCATGCGGACCACTGGAGCTCCCTACGGGGCCACGAAGCGCTATACTGGGTGGGGTGGACGCATGCAAGCGGTTCCACTGGAGGCTTTGATGGAGCTCTCAACCAATGGAGCCGCGAAATGCTGTGTCGGGTGGTGGACGACGCATACCGGCGGTGCCACTGGGGTCTTTCAGTGAAGCCCCCCATGGGGCCACGAAGCGATGTGCTGGGTGGTGGCTGACGCGGGCGGTCCCACCGAGACCATCGGCGAAGTTCCTTATGATGACACGGAGCGCTGTACTGGGTAGTGGCTGACGCATGCGGGCGGTCCCTAAGGGACCTTCGGTGGAGCTCCCTATGGGACCACGAAGCGCTGTACCGGGTGGTGGCTGGCGCATGCGGGCGGTGACACTGGAGCCTTCGGTGGAGCTCCCCATGGGGCCACGAAGCGCTGTGCTGGGTGGTGGCAAACGCATGCGGGCGGTGCCACTGGAGGCTTCGGTGGAGCTCCCTATTGGGCCACGAAACGCTGTACTGGGTGGTGGCTCACGCATGCGGGCGGTGCCACTGGGGCCTTGAGTGGAACCCCCCATGGGGCCACGAAACGCTGTACTGGGTGGTGGCTGACGCATGCGGGCGGTGCCACTAGCGCCTCGAGTGGAGCTCCTTGTGAGGGCACAAAACGTTGTACTGGGTGGTGGTTGACGCATGCGGGCGGTGCCATTCGGGCCGTCGGTGGAGCTCCCTATGGGGCCACGCATCCCTGGTGGTGGCTGACGCATGCAGGCGGTGCCACTGGGGCCTTTGGTGGAGCCCCCTATGGGGCCACGAAGCGCTGTGCTGGGAGGTGGCTGACGCATGCGGGTGGTCCCACTTGGACCTTCGGTGGAGCTCCTTATGGGGCCACGAAGCGCTATACTGGGTGGTGGCTGACGCACGCGGGCGATGCCACTGGGGCCTTCGGTGGAGCCCCGCATGGGGCCACGAAGCGCTGTGCTGGGTGGTGGCTGACGCATGCGGGCGGTCCCACTCGGACATTCGGTTGAGCTCCCTATGGGGCCACGAAACGCTGTACTGGGTGGTGGCTGACACATGCGGGCGGCGCCATTGGGGCCTTGAGTGGACCCCCCTGATGGGGCCACGAAGCGCTGTGCTGGGAGGTGGCTGGTGCATGCGGGCGGTCCCACTGGAGGCTTTGGTGGCGCTCCCTCTTGGGCCACGAAGCGTGTGAGGGGTGTGCCGAAATGGTGGGCATGCGGAGGGCAGAGGCAAGGCAAGGGATTGGAGGAGGGGAGGGAGGAGGAGGGGGAGGAGGAGGAAGGAAGCAAGGAACAACGCGAGGACCGTCTCTTCAAAACGAGGACCCAACACCACAGGATGGCTGGGACAAAACCGAGAATAGTTTTGAAACCCTCCCTCCTTGGCAAACCAAAATCATATTCGAAAAGGGGGGAAAAGGGCAACTCCCTGAGCCCCCCCTCCTTTGAAAAAGAAGCTCGGGTTACCTTCTGGGCTCCGGAAGAGGTGGGAGGGGTGGGGGTCTTTGAAGCCTCCCCTCTTTTGCACGGCAATCTCTGCTGCGAAACAAAAAGAAAGGGGAGGGGCAGCTTCGGAAGCCCATCCCATTGAAAAGCAAGCCTGAGCTGGCTTGGGCTCTGGGAAAAAAAAGACAAGAAGGGGGGAGGGTGCTTTGAAGCCCCCCCCCTTGGCACGGCAATCTGAAGTGCGAACAAGAGGGGGGGTAGCTTCCGAATCCGCCCCCCCTCCCTTTGAAAGGGAGGCCCGGGCTGACCTGTGGCCCCGAAAATATGGCCCCCGCCATTTATCAAGGGCTCCCATGGCTCCGAAATGTCCACAACAGGAGGGGGAGGAGGAGAGTTAGCTTCGGAAGCCCCCCCCCCTCCCGAGGGAGGAGGGATGGGGGGAGCTTGAGGCTGGGCCACCCTTTGAATGAGAAGTGCGCCTCACGCGCCTTATTTCACACATATATATATATATATATATATGTGTGTGTGTGTGCGTGTTTCGTCAAGGAATGGCAGTCTCAAAATGATCGCACGTTACTGAATGTATGCACTCAGGCGTGGAATTATTATATATACATATATATATATATATATATATATATATATATTTATGTGTACATGATTCTATATACATATATACGTATGGCCGGCTATGCATGGGCACATCAAAGCGCCGTGCAGAGGATGTGAAACAAGAGCCCCGGAAAAAAGAAAGAAATGGTGACTACGCGCTGGGACCCCCCCCCCTCGCTTCCTCCGTTTGGGTGGCGGGGGGGGGGATCGTGAGCAACGAGCCAGTGCACACTGGTCTTCTTGAGGGCGCTAGACCTCGTCTGTCTCGCAGGCTCGTCGGCGATCAGGCTCGCGTGGCCGGCCGCCCGCGCTGCCTTCGTCAAGGCAGCGCCACGCTCCTCAAGCTGTCTGCAGACCTCGTCTGAGACGCGAGGGAGCTCGAGGGCCAAAAACTCTTCTTGGCACGACTTGCCGCGCGCTGCGCTCCCCACCCTGCGTTCTAGAAGGTGTTTGACCAGTCTCGCGCGGCAACCGAATTCAACGCCGCAGACCGGGCGCCTCGAGATGTCGCCGACCATCCGGCGAACCGAGCTTTTCATGCGATGATTTGACCACATATGCGTGGATAACTGGCCATGGGTCTCAAAAGACACCTTGCACCCTGCACACTCAAACTTCACTGTGGCGCATGGGTTTGCGCGATGGCGCTTGCCCCGCGGACCCTGCGCATCTGGTTGGTAATGCGTGCCATCATAGACTGTGAAGTACGATTTGACAAGAGATTCCCATTCGCCTGGGTGCGTCCTTGCCAGCAACCAAAAAGGTTGGAAGCGGTCGAACGGCGACGGCATCTCCCCGAGCTTCCCAGGTAGATGAGCACGTATCACATCGAGGTCCTGAAAGAGGAGCTTCACCCACGGGGGCAACTCGCCGGCAGGGGTGCGCTGCTGCAGCACTGCGTGCAAGGGTTCGAGTGATACCCTTGTAAGCCGCGAGAAGTAGAGCAGCCTTCTCCGCCTGAGCGCGCAGTCCAGCGAGGCCACTTGCAGCATCTGCCGCACTGCGACGTCAGTGAACTTGGTCCGGCGGTAGCGCGGGTCGTTGGCTACCCTTCGCCACGCGCGCGTACGAATTGTGTTGAACGCGCATATGCATTGTGTTGAGCGACTGTTTGTGCCTTTTCTCAAGCATCTCCCGAATCTGTGAGTTATACAGCAGCTTCGACATGATCAACGAGTGCGTCAGATTGACGCGCCGGCGGAGACTGGCATGCCGCGAGCCGAGCAATGCCCCAAGCGGAGCCAATACATTCATTGCAGATTTGCACCTGTTGCGCACCTCGGGGAACATGCTGCCGTTCTCCTCGATGATGCCTCCAAGGTGCTTGCATTGCTTGACGATGCCAACGTCGACGGCCTGGTCCAAACCGTCCGAGGCTGACTTGCGCCTGTGTCTGCGTTTCTTGCCACCCACAGGAAAGCGCTGCCGGCCGTTGGCTTTCCGCAGCTTGAGCTTCTCTGTCCTTGCACGCCTGCCTCTCCGCATCAAGATGCCCTCTGTCTCACCCGCTTCCCAGTTGATTTCCCGGGCGCACTTGTGGAAACATCGGCGCAGCCAGTTGACTACGAAAGCAAACTTGGTAGACATAGTTTTGCGAACTGCTGCCACAACCATCACGGCTTCGTCGTCAACAAAGGTGATGTCGAGGATACTGCGCTCGCCTTGCGCCGATGCGTCAGCCTGGTCTTGTTTGAAAGGGCCCCCTCTGGAGAAGCGCACCTTGACCGGGATGCCGTGGGCATCGCAGTCGGCAGAGAACTCTTTCAGAGCCTTGCCGTACACGGCGTTGAACAGGATGCTGCCAAACAGGCAGCCTTGGCGGCCACCTCGCCTGACAACCAGCTTGCGCTTGGCTCCTTTCATGCGAAACCAAAAAGAAAAGTGCATCGACTTGAGCAACTTCGCGCTGGCGCCCGTGATGCCCATTCCCGTCAGAATTGTGTCCTTGGCAATCTCTCGGGCGATGCAGTGGGCCTGCGCACTGGACAACCCCAGCTTCCGCAAAGCAGCGATGCCGCGCTGCCGGCGCATGGTGTCCGACGGCCCCGTCTGGAACCATCCGAACACGAGCTCTCTGATCACGCGGTCATACGCCTTGGTGAGGTCCAAGGAAAGCAGCCCAAGGGGCTTGCCCCATGCCTTTGTGCACGCCTGCACACTTCGTATGAAGTCGCTGGCGAAATCGGCCCCCTTGCCCGCAATAGCGCCGCACTGCGCGTCAGGTATGTACTGTTCGTACGCCTGCGCGTAGTCATCGCATAGTTTTCACGATGACACATTGCCCATGTGGTCACCGATGAGCAACCCGCGGTAGTTCTCCACGTTGGCGTTGTCACCTCTCCTGGGCAGCTCCTGCAGCCGCCCTCCGCGCCATCGTCGAGGCCACCGCTTCTGTTGCCAGATCTTCGCGTTCAGCTTGTGCAGAGCGGGAGCCATGGCGAAGCCACCTGCTTTGAGCAGCTCACCGCCGATGCCGTCGAAGCCCAAACCCTTGTCGTTCTTTAGCCGAGATATGCCCTTGCAGATGCGCTCGATACAAGGGCACTCGCCCAAAATCTCGGCATCGTCGTCGGACTCGCTCTCTACTGGCAGGCCCCGCCCTTCGAACTCGTCGGCGCCGAGCACCTCGCAGAAATGATCTGCGAAGCGATCCAGGCATTGTTCTTGGGATTGTGTCCGGGAGCCATCCTCCCAGCGCGCGCTGCGGAGCCGGCTGGCGACCGTGCCGGATGCGAATTTGGCTAGCTTGAACAACTTCCGCATGTCGCCTTTCTCCCCCGCTTTCTCTGCAGCGATGTGTGTCCGGTCCAACATGACATTCCGATCGAGTTTCACCGACCTCTGTATTTGGACTCCCAGACGTCGGAGACGCAGCGAAGCGAGGGCCCACCTGCGGCAAGCACCTGCGAACTGCGAGCAAGCCACATTCTGCCCAATACGTCCTCCCTGGAGGTCACGTTGTTTCCGGCTGCTAACAACATCCCGCCACTCCACGAACATCTCGACGAGGCGGATGGTGCGCATCTGACTGAGAACGTCACGTACAGTCTTTTTGAGACCATTGCGCAGGCACATCATATCCCAAGTGCGATCAGATATCCAGGCCTTCTTGGGGCCTCGATTCCACCCTTGAAGATGCCGCTGCCGTTGCGCACACGTTGGCACAACATCTCAAGATGGTCGTCAATACCAACAGAGTCGCAAAGATTGAAAGAGGCCATCCACCACTCGAAGTGTCTGCGCAAAGCTGGGTTCAGAAGTTTCTCCTTGGATGCTCGCGGCATGGCGGCGCCCAGGCCGTCGTCGCCGGCGCGCTCTGGCTTGTGCGACGCGCCAGCAGCATCCACAGACAAAGACAAAACTGCTTGGACAACACAATGGTCATCACGTTCGCTTTCGGTAAGCTCGATCTTCCTGTTCACAGCCCTCTCCGTCACGACATCGTTCACCAAACCGCGGAACAGCTGATGATCGATTCGTGAGTGGTGGCCGCGTGAGCCAGTCCAGGTCCAGAAAGCATCACTCCGGCAGCCTTGCTCGCCCGCGTTGACGGCGACGAGGCCCTTCTCGAGGATGAAGTATCTGAGGTGTGAGCCATCCTCGTTTTCAACTTCGCTCCCAACTTGGCCAATGCCAGTGGCAGACACGCTCCTGATCTTTGCGCTCATGTCCGCGAGGAGGACAACCCGTGCGCGTGGGTGCTCATGCCGGAGCTTGCCAAGATCACGAGAAACCTCCCCATAGAAAGGACCTGCATCGGCAGATCCATTGATAAGCGAATGCAAGACACCAACAATCAACTCGCCGTTCTCGCAGACCATGGTCACGGACAGTATCCTCGGCGACACTGGCATGCACTGCAAGATCTTGATGCGCAGCGAGAAGTTAAGCCACAGCTGGACACCAAAAAGGCCGCCACTGTCAGCAGCAGAACCAACGACTCGATAGTGCACCTTCGTGACGTCAAGGTCGACCCACATGCGAGTCTCGATAACACCCGCCATATCGAAACGCTCAGTCATGAACTCCCTCTCAAGGCGCTGGATTTTGGTAGAAACGAGCAGGCCCTGTCCCACAGCCTGTGCCCGTCGAGCTTCGGCAGGGCGCCAAGTACCCACATTCGCCACCGAAATACGGAGGGCAACGACATCATGGGGCCGCCGCCCCCCAGCGAGAGAAGCACGTTTTAGGCGACGACCTTTTGATGCCCAAGGCCTGCGCCACTGATGCGGTTCCTCGCCCTGGCAGCGATCAGGCGAAACTTGTGAAACTTGTGGATTGCACCTCGCGCCCCTCCCAAAGCCCCGCCCTGGGCCGCCTGCTGGAGGGCGCGCAGTAGCATGATGTTTTGCGCCCCTTTGGCGCCATGCTGGAGCTGCAACGTCGCCGGGGCCGTGGCGGCCCCCACTGGCGACAGGGACATAGCTGCCGGCGATGGCGTTGCTGTGCCTGGTGATGGCTGAGGTGCTGGCTGCGCTGCTGGCTGTGGCACTGGCTGCCCTGCGGCAGCCCCGTTCCTTACAGGGGCCCCGCGCGGCACTGCGCGGACAGGGTGGTCAGCTGGTTGAAGAGCACTCCATCGGCATACGAGCTGCCCCCGCCGTTTCGACCTGGACCATGCCGCCCGTGGCCATTTCCTCCAAAAACCGATTCATCCCCGATTTGAGGACCCCGAGGCAGTCGGCGTCTGCATCGCCTCGGGCCCTCATCTGGAGCTCCATGGCAGCCACCTGCTGTCCAAGGTCGGCCACCTCCTTGTCTGCCATCTCCTTCGCGTGCACGGCCTCGGCTAGGAGGAGTCGGCTTGCGGGGGGGGTCGGGCGCGCGGGAGGCGGGCAGAGGCGTCGCCGGCGCCCCGCGCCCCCGGGGGGCTCCACGTTGGATTTCCCAGGCTGCGCCAAGCGCGCACGCGTTACTTGCCCGCGCGCTCACATTCGCGCAAGCGCATCCTAAGAAACTATGATTTGGATCGGAACCGGGCGACAACGGGCATGGGGCGCCTGTCAATGGCTGCTTCTGGGAGCGATTGCTGCTGGCTCGACACGCGCGATATGCATGTAACGACTATTGGAAAACGGGCGCTGCGCCGTCCAACCCAACGCGGCCATGGCGCGGCCTGGGGCGCGCGGCCGTCGCGGCACACGGCGGTCGACGTGGCCGCATGGGGCGCGCGATCGGCCGCGCGGTATTTGCGGGCCATTCGGCCGACGATGCCGGGTCGCCCTCAAACAGCCCGCCAGGAATACGCAAATGCGCAATGCGCTAGCGCGCCGCCAGGATATCGCCCTGAAAACAACCTGTTCACTCTGAACGCCGACTGCGCGCCTCGCTGAACCAGCGAAGTCGCGCGGCGCGCCCGCGCCGCGGACCCGCCGCAATGAACCCGCGGGAAAAAAGCCTCTCTCCATGGGTTCTGGCACCGATTCTGGCCTACTTCCCCGTTCTGGCCGATTCTGGTTTCATCGCCGATTCCTCCTTTGATTCCGCATTCATTCCGTACTGCTTCTTTCAATTCCGCGAGAATCAGGGGTCGCAGTTGTGCCGATTATGTTTTGATTCTGTGCTGATTCCGTACTGATTCCTTTGATTATCCTGCGCCGCGGCCCCAGCTCCCGCCTCGGCGGCATCGTTTTTCCAGGAGCGCGGAAGAGTTTTGAAGGGGGGGGGCGGGGGGGAGGCGGAGCGATTTTGGGGGCGCATCGGGCGGCCGAGCCATAGATTTCTGGACCCAGTGCGCGCGCCCAACATGGCAGGCGCGGGCGCGCGCGCGAGTTCTCGACCGTCGGCGCATCTGTAAGTTCATACCCCGCCCCGCGCGCGGGAATGGAAACTTGCGCTGCGGTTTCCAATTGAACGCGCGGCCGTCGCAACTGCATCGCATTGCTCAGCGCGCAAAGCGCGCGAGCAGCATGGGGGGCTTTGCGTTCTCGCATGAGAAGTGCGCGGAACCGAACCGAACGGTCGGCGGCGCCCGCTCCTGCGCCCAGCGCGAGGCCATCGCGTCAGCGCGGGGGGCTACAGGGGCCAGGGCCGTCGCCCTGGGGCGCGGGCACCGCGCGAGGCCCGCGCGGGTCTCTCGCGCCAAACATGCGCGCCAAGGTCGGCCCGCCCGCCGGCTGGCCCTCGCGGGCGACGCGACGCCGGCGCCGACTGCGAGGCCGACTGGGCCGATTCCTGAGAGTCCCGGGAAGGGGCCGCGGGCCGCGATGGAATCGGCGCGGTCGTTGGCGCCCCCCCCGCGCCCGGCCCCCCTGCAAGCCGACTCCTCCTAGCCTCGGCGACAATGTTCGCGAGGCGCTCTGCGCGCTGTTGAGCTCTGGTCAAGGCTCCCCACGGCCGCGTGCCCAACGACTTCAAGTTGATGATATCCCGCTTGGCGCTGGCGATCTCGGTGCCCACGCTGCTCTTTATGGAGTTGTGCAGGCCCCCGGCCGGAAGAGATGCCTTCGTATTCTCCAGCGCGCGGATCTTGTCCTCGAGCTCCTTCCTCTCGGCCGAGCGCGCAGAAGCGGCGTCGTCTGCGCTGCGTGGAGGGCATGGCATGTCGACCGCCCCCCAGCCGCAGCGAGCAAGGATGCTTGCGCCGCCGAGGCTGCCGCGCTGATCGGATGCTGCTGGGCAGTCGCCGCCGGCGCCGCTGGTGGAGCTGCGCCGTGGCCATCGGCGAACTGCCGCCGAACGTTGCACTGCCTGCAGACCTTGGCCTTGCAGTAATTCTGGCACTTGCACACAGAGCACTGCCTACCAGCCGAGGCGCAAGCACCACCGTCCCATTGCTGCCATTGCCGGGACATGCTGTACCCGTGCTGGATGAGATATGTTCGTCCGCCTAGGCACGACACCTAGGATATCATCAGGGTAAGGTTGCCCGCTCAAAATACTTTAGCCGAAAATGGCAACGGGCGTATATATATATATATATATCCAAGTGGCACGTGTGTGCCCAGGCTCATACAACAAGCTGAAGGGGCGTTTGAAGCAGGAGTGACATGCAACAGCAAAGTCGCACTCGAGCGCAAGTGGGGTTGCCACACCTTGCGATGTGTGTACCAGGGCCCCCCAGGAAGCCTCAGGAGGCCCGGCTTGGATACCAGAACAAGCTCCAGGAGGCCCCAGGATTGTGAGTGTTGTGTGTGTGATGTGTGCTTTGTGTGGTGCGTGCTTTTTGTGTGTTGTCGGTGTTGTGTGTGTATGTTATGTTTGTCTAGCGTGTGATGTGTTGGGCGTGATTTGTGTCTCTGTGTGCGCATGTTGTTCTGAAGCCCCAGGAGGCCCCAGGAGGCCCCGGGCGGCCTCAGCATGCCCAGGAGAACTCCAGGAGGCTCCGAGGCGGGGTCTGGGGTACCAGAAGGTCCAGAAAGCCCCAGGAGGCCCCGGGAGGTTCCAGGAGCGCCCAGGAGGCTCCGAGGAGGGGTCTGGGGCTCGATGTTGGGAAGATTTGTCATGCGAAACCGCCATTCTCTGAGAATCGGGGTCAAAATTATTGAAACTACAATGTGTTTTTTAAAGGTGATATGTTAAAATGTTGAAATTCCCATGTGTTTTTGGACCCTGACGTCACGATCTGCGTGAGGGGTGCCACCGATTTTCAGAATTTCGAGGATGTCCCGAGCGAAACGGCCAGAAGAATCGCGGACGACGTGCGCATTAATCGCCTCTGAGCTCTACTCCCTCGGAGAAGTGCGTATGAGTATATATATATATATATATATATATATATATATATCCTCAAGGATGGGCAGACTCAAAATTGACTGTACACGCCACGGCACACCAGCATAGCTCGGCGGCGCGCCGACGGGTCTTCCGTCAGCGCGGAGGGCGGGCTCAGCGGCTAGCACCTGCGTGCACCCTGCGCTGTGCAGACCTCCTCTCAGCGCTGCCCTGGGCGTCTAGCTCGGCCGCGGTAGCGGGGGGCAAGCGAGGGCAGTGCTTCAATGCGAATTCTCCACATCTCGGCCGACGTCTGTCGCCGAGGCGGTTGAGCAGCCGCGCTCTTGCGCGAAAGTCGATGCACCAACGCGGGCAGGCAGACGATCGCACCCGCTCCCTGTAGGGAGATCGGATGCCGCGCTTCGCGCGCGCGCGCGAACCCAGCGCTCTCTGCGAGGCAAAGGCGCACGGGCAAGACGGACAGTGAAAGGACAGAGCTCGAGACACCGCTCCCTCAGCGGAGGCGGGGACGCGGTCGCACGACGACTCCGGAAAAAAGACTCGGCGTACTTCTCGCTTCCACGCCGGCTTGTGGGCCATCCTGGCGACCCACTCCTCCGCCCCAGCGTCGAGGTCAGGGAGGTCAGAGAAAAACCAAGGGTCTGGAGCATGGCGACGTCGCGCCGCACGGCCGCCACCCATCGCGTAGGCTGGCCGCGTGGGCGAGCGTGCAGAGCAGCGATTAAGGAACGGGGGCGCTCTCGCTCAACGCGGCCAAGGTATTGCAGTCGAGCTACGGTCAACAGGCAGTCAATCGACGGCATGGCGAGGGAGAGGCGGACGCGGAGATCAGATGCCTCCACATCACTCGAGAAACGCATCTGGCCGGCGATGCGACGCCGGCCTCGCGTCCATGCTCCATTCAGCTTCCGAACAGCTCCAGGGGAGAGCACGAACATTCTCATGTTGTGCAGCAACCTCGACACCACGAGCGCCCGGAAGAACAGCAGGCGATACGTCTGGTCCACCAAACTCGAGCCGAAGAGCTTGCACGCCAGAGGAGCGTACGCAGCCAGGGCGTTGCGGGCGTGGGCGGACATGTTGGTGGCCGCCATGCCCTCGTGGTCGATGTACGAGCCAAGGTGCATGTACTCGCGAACGAATCGGAGTGCGACCTGGTGTCCGAACTTCGCGAGCGGCATCCCCAACTGGCCGTCGGGGAGGCGGCAGGCTTCGCGGGCAGCAACCGCGCCATGGCCCCGGAAATTCACCGCGGCCTCCGTCTTGCCGGCTTCCCAGATCAGCTGCAGGTGGCACTTGTCGAAGACGCCCAACGGCGTCTCCATCAGGATGTCCATTGCGGCTCTGAGGGTATGCGCAGACGGTGCGGTCGGCACGACGCACTCGTCATCGACGAAGGTGACGTCGAACACGTGCTGG